GAGTTTTCCCTTCATTTGTGAGAATTTTAGATTTGCTTCTTTATTGTTAGGTAAGCAAATATGAATTTGTCAGATGCATTGAAAAATAAATGCACATGATTGCAAGGAGGGAAGGTGGTAGATGCTGCTCACCCAGTGCTGCAGGATGCCCCAGCAAGTTCACAAAGTGTTGTCTGTGAGGGCGTCTATTGACCACTGTCTTTTGGTTATCATTTGGGTCTTTTGAATTAGCATTTAAAAATTCTGTGCTTTGGAGGACCTCTAGATCCTTTCAAATCCATTCATTGCCTCCAGGCAAAATAAATAAATAACCAGGCCAGCCTGTGATCTCCCTCCCACTCACTGGAATTTCAAATTTAAAAAACAAAAACTTTCTGTCATTTCAAAGTAAGGAAAGTACAGCCAGTGGACATGCAGCTGAAGCAAAGAAATGGCTGGTGTGCAGAGGGCGGCGCTGAGACTGGAGGATGGCTGCGGTCCACGCACAGTCTAGTTAACCCTTCCGAGCAGTTCTTGGACACATGTTAACATGTGGTTCGTGGTCTTGTCACTGAGGTAACTGGCCCACCGTGGTTTCAGCGGCGGTCCCTGCTGCTGTCCCACCAGCACACTCACTGTGCTTCCTGCTCTCTGGCTTAGTGCACTTGCTAAGGAGCTGGGTTTCTGACATTTTCATTACATTTCTGTAGCCAAATCGAGTCAGAGGCGCGTCCACAAGGATGTCCAAGGAAGTTAAGAACTGGTGCATGAAAAGATAGGAATGGAGTTCAGACCCTAGCGTGTCAGAGGCAAGCTTGTAATACAGGCATGTCATTTCCCTGCCTTTCCACGTCCTCTCCGGGACAGTAGGGGGATCCATGTCCTAACTGACCTCTAACCATCTTTCAATGTCCATCATTCCCTGTAGCTTGCTGATGACCGCATGGCACTGGTGTCAGGCATCAGCTTAGATCCAGAAGCAGCAATTGGTGTGACAAAGCGGTCACCTCCAAAATGGGTGGATGGAGTAGATGAAGTAAGTTAAATGATAGTTTCTAAGTGTTTTGTTTTGTTTGTTTTTTTAAGTTTAGATGACAACATCGCCAAAATATCTACCATATGAGTCAGTTTGGCTCCAGTTAAAGTTGTAACCTCAGACACACTCACGCTTTGAATTTATTCATTTATATACCACATAATAAAATAAGAGTGTGTCTGTGTGTCTAGATTACTTGGATTTAACATTAGCAGCAACTACTTGAATTATAGGAAGAAATGAAAAACCATGGAATAAGGAAGAGTGTGTGCTTGTTTTAAATGAGTTTATTCAATTATTTATTAATTTGTTAGCTTTGGTTTTTCGAGGTAAGGTTCCTCTGTGTAGACCTGGCTGTCCTAGAACTCACTCTCTAGACCATGTTGGCCTTGAACTCAGAGATCTACTTGCTTCTCCCTCCAAGTGCTGGGATTAAAGGCATGTGACACCACCATCTGGCTTATTTCATTTTATGTGTATTAGTATTTTGCCTGCGTGTATGTCTGTGTACCAGGTGTGTGCCTGTGAAGATCATAAAAGGACATTGGATCCCCTGGAACTGGAGTTACATAGATAGTTGTAAGCCACCATGTGGGTGCTGGGAACTGAACCCAATCTTCTACCATAGCAACAAGTGCTCTTAACCACTGAGCATCTCACTTTTGTTTTTTTGTGGGGGTTTTTGTTTGTTTGTTTGATTTTGCTTTTTTTTTTTTTTTTTGGTAACTTGAATTTAAAAAGTTACTTGTGTGTCAGTAAGCCACCAAATTCAACTGAATGCAGAGTCTGGTGTAGCTGACCATCTTGAATGCAGAAGGATACTTGCCAGGCATGAGTGGGATTCTCGTGACTTCCATTGTTTAGGTACAGTATGATGTTGGCCGCATTAAACAGAAGATGAAGGAGTTAGCCAGCCTTCATGACAAGCATTTGAACAGACCCACCTTGGATGACAGCAGCGAGGAAGAGCATGCCATCGAGATAACCACCCAAGAGATCACACAGGTGAGGACACAAGCCCAGCCTTTGAACGGCCACCTCCAGTGCCACAGAGCCCCTGTTCTGAACCCAGCAGATGATGTCCTGGACTTTCATATTCCAGCCTAAAGCCCTCATGGGGACTTGCAAAAGCCCAAGGTCTATGAGTTGCCAGCACATGTGTGTGGTTTCTTGGAGGTATGGGTGCTGTTTCTCAGTTGTTGGTAGACACCATGTGTTTGATTGTATAAGAATTAGACTCAGCATAGTAATGCATTGGATTATTTGATGTTAAAATGTATAATTGCTATGATATACCAGGACTTGCAAATTTATGCTGAAACACAGTTCAGTAAGAAGACATCTTGGGGATTTTATTGGAAACCCAGTTTAACCTTTAGGTGGTGTGACTGTGTTTAAGTCGCCATCTTTCTTTGAGAGTAGACACCCAAGTGTCTGAAGCCTTCTCTCTAGCTGAGTCACCATGAAACGTTTCTCCCTCAGTCTCTGACTCGGCCATCCCATCTGTAAAGTGGGCACAAAACCACACCAGTACCTGCCTCGTGCTCCTCCTGTAAGAAGTCAAGGAGTGTCAGGCACACAGTGAGTGAGGGGAGCAGAGTGGAGCACAGCATAGACATGGTACAGACAGAGGGTGAAGTCAGTTAGGTCTTCAGGGTGCACATGACCTCTGGCCACCCCCCCAACACACACACACACACACACACACACACACACACACACACACACGGCCCAGCCCAACCCTGCATACCAGCCTGCAGAGCAGGGCGCCCCTGGCAGAGGCCTTGGCTAGGAGAGGCTTCTCGATGTAAGCCAGAGCTATTCTCTCAGCTCTTCCACAGGTGCCAGCGTGCCGTGCAGGCCTTGCCCAGTCGGGCACGAAGGGCCTGCTCTGAGCAGGAAGAGCGGCTACTGCGGAACGTGGTGGCCTCCCTGGCACAGGCCCTGCAGGAGCTGTCCACCAGCTTCCGGCACGCACAGTCCGGCTACCTGAAACGTGAGTGCTGCCGGCCCTGTTGAGGGACTCTTGAGTAAGAAACATTGTGTCTTCTCTCCTCCTTTGGGTCTGGTTCTCTATCCAGCCCTTGCCTTTCGTTGTTAACAGCTAATTAGGCACATTCACACCTTTTGAACAAGAGGAAGCTGCTTCCCCAGGAGACCCTTGCTGAGGAGGGAAGGCCTGGCTCCTGGTGCAGTGGTTTTGACAGTTCTTGTCCAGGTGAATAGCATCCAGCTCTGGCTGTCCACAGACTTGGAAAGTCACAGCATATTTAGAAAAGAAGGCTTGTTGTGATGTGATGTTGGGCTTTGGAGTTCTGATGACACACATATAAGAGCCATTTCCTCCACACAGTGATATGTACATGGCCCCTGGGGCTTGAAAGTAGGGTACAAACACTCTTGCATCAGCTGCCCCTGATACTGCGTCTCTCTCTCTGTCATCTTTGTAATGAATAAAACCCCACTTGCTCCTGAGACCCTGCTCCCATCTCCCCACAACCTGCAATGCATGTCTGTTTTAATTCCCCCCAACCCCTCACCCTCCGCCGCTGAATCTGACCAGAGTGCTTACTAGAGTGCTCCAGGAGAGAATACTGGTTTTGTGTTAGTGTGTTATAAGAGCAGTTAGAAGAGTCTCAGATGGTTGTGTCCTGCCTTGGCATCCAGTGAATTGGGCATTTAGAGAGTGACTGCCCTGAACACTTGCATGCTCTTGCGATGCTTTAATGCAAGGCTCCTCCCTCTGGAGATGGGCTTCTTCAGACCTGTTTAGGGGGCCTCCCCTTGCCTGTTGGGTTTTACTTTAGATTGCCTTTTTAATTGGTGGAACAGTAGCCATATGCATTCAAGTAAAGTGGGCCCCTGTCTGGTAGGCATGAAGAACCGAGAGGAAAGATCACAGCATTTCTTCGACACATCGGTGCCACTAATGGAGGATGGAGATGATGCTGCTTTGTATGGTCAGGTATGTGATGAGACTCCCATCTGCCGCTTCTTTTTCTAAGGTCCTTGCTCCTGTGCAGTTGAGGGAGTGACGGTTGTTGTCTGGTGTCTGCCAAGTAGCCCTTGCACAGGCAGGTTAGCCATGCTGTGCTTCCCTTCAGTTGTCACAGGGAGGGCCTGCAGTGTGCGTCCCCGAGCCTGAGCTACACAAAGCCATCCCTGGGCCCCATGTGGCTGCATATGTAGCTTCTTTCTGCACCCCCACTCCAGCTACTGTATTACACACCATGCTGTTTGGGGATTGGGGTATTTATTTCCTGTCAAGGAAGTAAGTTACTTGTTGCCAAATGCTTTATACAAATATTTTCAGAATTGGTTTTCCTTAACTGTTGTCTGAACTGCCTACCACAGCTTTCTTAACGGGCGACTCTTGTTGGGACAGGGTTTCACGGATGACCAACTGGTACTGGTAGAGCAGAACACACTGATGGTGGAGGAGAGAGAGCGGGAGATCCGTCAGATTGTGCAGTCCATTTCTGACCTCAGTGAGATCTTCAGGGACTTGGGAGCCATGATTGTGGAGCAGGTGTGTGTCCTGTGGGGTGTCTCGCCCGTCCTTCCCTGTGGCCCTTTTATCCTGTCCTCTAATTGGGAAAACATTTAAACATGTGCTCCTCACACTGCATGTGTCTGGAGGGGTGTGTGTTTGCAGGTACTATGGGCTATTGTCATTTCCTGTGAAACTATTGATTTTTTTTTTTTTTTAAATCTGCAAGAACAAAGGAATAGGAATTCTAATGTTTTCTCCTCTGACCCAAAGATACTTGTGTGCATGCATGCTTTGGAGGCCTGGTGGACTCTGACCAAGCCTGGCCTAATTCTGCCATTGTACAAGATTCCCTTCTGATAGTGGCAGAGCACTGTGCAATGGCTGTTAGAACCACAGCTTTTAAGTGGAATTAAATAGTTGCTCATTGGTACAATCTGATTAGGGCATTTTTATTATCTTGCCAGCAGGGATTTGTTTGGGTCCTGGTCCCCTGAAACTAGCTACAGAGTAGAGCGTTGAGGCCCCATCAGAGCCAGCGGATGAACTGCCGTGTTTCCCAGTGAATTGCCATCTTTTCTCCCTGCTTCCTGTAGGAACCAGGAAGAGACTGATTAATAACCTATCCTTGAGGTCCAAGTTATCATTTTAGACAGTGATTGGAACAGCCTGGCCATGGTGGTAGAACCTAGTTGGTATTCTCCATCTGCCAAATCCCAGTATTTAAGCAGCAAGGAGTGGAAAGCCATGGCCCTTGGCTTCCCAGAGCCCACTCCTACGATGGGTTTCTCAGCCCTGGTGCATCTGAGGGTGGCCTAGCTATAGAAGTGATCAGACCTGACACCGCCGCACTCCGCAGAGTGCCCACACTGCCTGGGGTCGGACACTGCTCTGGAATGAGGCCCGAGGTCTGTGATATGCATGTCTCAGGCCTTGACCCTCAGTCTCCCTAGCTGGAATTATTGACCATCTGTACTGTCTCTTATTACTCAGGGTACAGTCCTTGACAGAATTGACTATAATGTTGAACAGTCCTGTGTCAAGACCGAAGATGGCTTGAAACAGCTTCACAAGGTACCAATGTTCTCTGTGCTGGGTCTTTAGGAACTGTTATCGAATCTTGGGAATTCCTAGGAGGTTCTCTTCTGTCACACGTCTTCAACCCAAGACACAAAGGGGTATAAATGGGAGCAGCTATGAGGCTTGCTATCATGCTGTAGTCTGGTTGTCAGGCAGGCCTCACCGAGAGGTCAGCAAGGCTGGGATCCTTCTGTGGGCTGGGGTTTTCTTTCTTGCTTTTTATCTTTCTGAGTTTTGTTAGAAGTCAGTTGATTGGCTTCTCTTGGTGTGGGCTGAGAGGCCATCTGCTTGTTGCTGGTAACTTAGGGTGCTGGGGTTCACTTCTGATGACTTGCTGGTGGAGGACTGTCAACAAGGGTAAAAATCGAATTATCCCTTCCTGTTTCACTCTCAACGATTGTAGAAGTGAGGTGGGTTGTGTTCTTGGTGACGAGGGTTATACTCTTTCATGGGGGTTGCATGTTTGTTAAATTTCTTTTTAAGAAGTCAATGGAAATCATTTTAGAAATCCTATAATCAGTTAAGAGAAATGGGCTCATGAACACGAGCGTCATGTGTGGTTGGACACACGCCTCCTGTGAAGGGGATGCAGCCGGCTCTGCCCACAGGTCACATCAGTCCTGTCTGCTTCCCTGTCATTTGGTACCTCTGGCCGTGGGTTGAGCATTTTCCCAGGTCATGTTCTTCTTTTGAAAGCAGAACCCCCCATCTGTCTCCTCGTGGTTGCAGGGTCTGAGCTCAGCGGCTCTGCCTCCCCTGTGCTGCCCCTCACAGACCAGGGACAAGTCTCGCTTAGGTGTTTAGAGTAATGGAGGCGCCAGCCCGTGTCTCACAAGCTGAAGCTTCCTGAGCTTCCTGTCCTGTAGTTTGAGGTGCTGCTGAATTGCCTATCAGTCCTGGAGTTGCCTAAGTCATACCTAGGAAACGTGGTTTGTGTTGTGCTGCAGACACAGGAGGAGAGACATCTTCTCCATGGGAGGGACTGGGTCTGAGGCAAGCTTTTCTCTTGGTCTGACGTTACTGGAGAGTTTTCTCAGTATGTGGTCTGCATTGGCTCCTTGGTTCTTGAGGTTGCCCTGAAGAATGGGGCTGTCCTCAGCCCACACCGTGGGAAGGCAGCTGGGACTTAGGAGTTGCTCCCATTGGCCAGCTCTCCGTGTGGTCTCCTGTCCTGTTTTTAGGTGAGGAGGGGCCTTTCTGGGTGGGTGCTGGATGCTCAGCTCCCAGTCTCCTCCTGCTCGCTGTCCTTCTTTGGGGGTCTGTGTCAGTCCCCAGCCATGTGAGGACGTCAGTGTTTCTGTACCACCACATATTGATGGGGGGCCGGCTCCCCAGTGCTTCTGTAGGAGAGGTGGGTACAGGTGGGCAGTGCTTCTGGGTGCTGCATGTTGGGGGAGGTGTGCAGATGGGGCTTTGGGAGCTCTTCTGTGTGCCATCGGTCCTAGGGTAGGGACAAGGTTGGTCCTCAGGTAGCTCTTAAACCAACACAGATGGGCACATTTGGCCATTTCTACCTCAGACAATGAGCAGAGGAAGTAGAGACAAGGCCTCTTAGGGCCACTGGTTCCATGCTTTCTGGTCACCCTTTCTTGTACAGGGAAGAAAGACAATGCACATTTGTCCTGGGCACAGGGACATGGCTCAGGGTCTTGGTGGTTCGCACTGAAGGAAGGTCTAACCGTGAGGCCTGTCCTGTGCTGCAGATGTAAGCCCACCCTGCAGAAGCCAGGCTTGTATGCTCTCTGTGGGAAAAATGACACCTTCCCTCCTCTTTTGTAGGCAGAGCAGTACCAAAAGAAGAACCGGAAGATGCTCGTGATCTTGATACTGGTTGTCATCATCGTAGTCCTCATTGTGGTCCTCATCGGCGTAAAGTCTCGTTAGTGGCGCCAAGTTCTTGAGACTGCTACTGCATGGATTCCTTGGGTATGAGGGCTTCGCTGGCGCCACACTGCTGTACTGCCCACAGAATGCAGCCCACTGGCCCAGCAACGGGCAGTGGACCTTCCTGTGGACGCCCCTCCTGTAGACTGGAGTGCAGCAGGCTCAGCTGTGGGTTTCCATCTCTGTCCAGAGTTTAAGGACTGGAAGCTGTTGCTGAGGAGACTGGCCCTGTGACCAGCTGTCATATAAAGATGTTTTCTAGAAAACGAGAGGAGAAAAGGTTTACAGGCATTGCTGAGCACCAGTACGATGTGTGTGAATGAAGGTTTACAGGCATTGCTGAGCACCAGTACGATGTGTGTGTTTGCTCACTTTTAGCACTCATGTCTGAGCAGCATGTTAACTAAGTTTTAGGAAATTTTTTTTAACCATCTGGTTTTTAAGAAGTTTGGTACCAAAAATTTATGAGTAGAGGCAGAATGCCTCTTCATCTTCCCAGCTGAAAACAAACCAAGAAGTCCTTCAAGAATTTATAATCCGTTCCCCATTAACTTAATTTAGCTTTTCCATCACTGTTAACGATCAGAGTAACAAAGTGTGAAAAATAAGAAACCATCATTGATGTTAATTAACACATTTAGACGGGCCAGTTAAACCAGCTTCATACGTTTAAATCAATTGTAAATAGCGTATTCCTCATTCAGAATTTTGCACTGTATTTTCTACTGTAAACCAAGAGCGGTTACTAAGCAAAACCTCCTGAATCAGAGAGTTGGCCATTTGAACCAACCTCACATTATGAGAAAGCTTGACAGTATCATGAACTAGATTGAGCCAGTGTGTCTCCAGTCATCCTTACTCAGTCCAGTACTTATATTCTAGCTACGTAATGACCTGTCCAAACCTGACTCCATTTAATGAACTGTAAATTTACACAGAGGCCATTTTAAATGGGTCACCCCATTTAGGATTAGTGGATCTCGAATTATTAACCAAACATCACTCCATTTCAAAGTAAAATATTCTCCCCATGATTTGATTTATCGACTCTTCCATTGTCACTTAGCAATGCCCAGAAAGCAGGGATATTCCTGAGGACAGTGAGAGCCCTATGTGTATGCTTGCT